AAAAACTATTAGAAATAGTTTAGAAACCTATTGAAATTTAATTATATAAGGTATGGTTATTTCCAGTTCTTTATATGATTGAGAGTTGTGATTAGGATTAAATCAATACATCAAATATTTATTCAGCTTGACAAAAGATGGTTTTTTTCTAAAAATTAAAAAGCAACTCCTTGGAGAATAGAAATACATTTAACACTAGTGCTTTAATAGAATGTTTGTATTTTCCTGGTATTACATGTCATCCAGACTTGACATGAAGCCATACCGTGCGGTTGGTGCAAACTGGTGTGAAAGCATTGGTCCCACAGGTAAATAACCGGTCACCACCCACCAGAAGCACCCGGATGTAGTTCTGACATTCCTCCTGAAAAAAAAAAAGAAAAAAAATCACAAAAAAGATGTTAACGAGGCCTGAGCACAAGGGGAACAGTGAATCTGAATACATTTTATTTGGCTAATAAATTTAATTGACCACTATAAAACAACAACAACAACACAACTCTTTGATATTTACCAACAAGTAACAGCAAAACAGTTAAATAACCTGATGTCTTTTGTTTAAGAGGACATTTATGAAGATAAATATGTGTTCAGTTGAAACCTCAAAGCCTGTGCCTTCTTTTGATGAATGTGTCATCATTTTGAATTGTATCTGATAACAGTGCACACCCTAAATTGCCTTTGACACGTACTAGGAAAATAAATAAAAGAAAACTATGCTCATGAAACAGTGTCTTAGAAAACTTCCCAGGACTCAAAAAAAAAACCCACACCTGGCGAATGGGAATGTTTCTCCAAACGTGAAGGGCACGTGCGAAACTATATACAAACAGTAGGAAGTTTTATGTAAAGTTCTGAAACTGCATTACACATGTAGCAAGAATCTATTGACATTTTTTATTCTTTGATGGACAAATAAAAATATAACTAACAAGGAAAGGATGTCTGAAACAGAGGGGAGGAAAGCCCAAACTGAGGGATGACCCGGAGTTGAATCTTTCTTGTAGTTGCAAAGCATTCATAGAAAATCAGGGGCAAGGTCATAGGAAAGTAGCACATGGGCTCTGAGCATTTATGGATTAGATAGTCTGGTAGACCCTGTGCCGGAGCTCACAGCCTAGGCCAGGGGTCGGCAAACTGCAGTTCACAAGCCACATGCAGTACGTTCTATCTCAAAAGTTTGCCGACCCCTGGAAGAGCCAATCTTAAA